GTTACCCTGCTGATTCTTCTGGATCGCTCAGTGATGTTCAAAACCTTCCACTACTGGCTTGGATCCCAAGATAAATTAACTTAAGGAAGTTTGCAGAGGGAAAGCTTTCTCTCCCTGCTGCCTCCTGTGCACCTAAACAAAGCCTTTCAGTCTCTGGAGGCTGGGCCCCTTCTGAACAATGTGGAATGGAGCTTGGGTATGCTTTTGATCTAGCACTGTTTCTGATACACTATCAGCTGTGGGGAATATGAATGGCTTTGCAGCTTCTGTTGGTATACCGGCTGTACCCTGGCTTTGAGAAGGCAGTTCTAGCCATGGTTGTGCATGCTCTTGTAATCCCCATTCTTGCCTGCTTAAGTCACTTAGTTTCAGTAGGGCTGTCCTTGAAAAGCATTTGCCATTTGCAGTTGTCCAAAATGTTTAGAAGCAACCTAGGGACCTCAGTACTGTAGGGCAGGCATTGACAAACGGTAGATTGGGAACTACTGGTAGAACTTAAGGTAATTTTTAGTAGATCAGGAAGGAATTCTAACCCTCGGGTTTAACAATGGCAACATCAGATTCCTTCTAAATTAAGTTGCTGAAAACAAAGAAGGTAGTGGGGGGTGGGGGGGAAGGATCTTTGACTGCAATTTATTTATCTTGTGTTTTATTCATCTCCTTTCCATCCTGAAAATGGAGCTCCTGGACCCCACTTGGTACCATATCATGCAGCTTTCCCTCCACTTTACAGCCACTATTTTACTTATTGATTTATTATTTTATTTTTTAAAAAATGAGTAGAATAACCCCAAAATGTCAAAATAAAAAACCAATGAAAAAGAAGAGCAGCAGCAAAATATGTCAGCAATATAATGGCAGATAAAACTCTGTCAAGGAAAAGGAAAGGCCTTCCACATATAGAGCAAGGATGTCATATTCAGCACCTAACCACTACAGATTTTTATCAAGTCACAAAAAGTAACTAGAAATGGAGCTAGACAGACCTCCTTCCATAGGTAGGTGACACAAGTCAAAATGTTCTGAGTTGCAGGACTACTTACAACTGGGCATCAGTTGATGAACAAAAAATATGAACAGAAGATTATACTGCACTTAGGGCAGGAGTGAGCAGATTTGAGGCCAGGATACACAATCTTTTTGGCCCAGGGCCACACATATACACGTAACAGCAATCCTGATAAAGATTGCTTCCTTCTTGCTGCAACAGGAAAACAGTCTGTTTGAGAATTTCTGGCAAAAGGGAGTCGAGAGTTCAGACAGCAGAAAAATTGTTAGTGATGATGGGGAATTCAGCAGCAGGGTCAGAACACCTGGAAGGAACTGCAGTGAGGGCCTTTGGTGAGCTGCACATGTGCCCAGGTTAAGTACCTCAGCTTTAGGTTTATGGAAAATGCTTTCTTTTCCTTTTTCAGGAGAAACCCCAAGGCTGAACTAGGTACAAAACAGTGGTTCAAAAGGGCAGACATTTTAGAACAAAAGGCCTCTGGGCAATTTGCCAGCACCACCACTATTGGTGTTCACACATTGATCCTGTGAGACTCAATTCTCCTGTTCTCTTCCATTTACCCCTTCCCTGTAGTCATTATCAAATGGCTGTCAAAGACTCCCTGATTATGGAAATTTAGGGTTAACTTAGGAATTGAGCAATAGATTTTAACACAATTTGGAATTGGGGACAGTAAGCAATAATTGGTGATTAGTTGCGTGTGTTTAGTAGCATTCATGTCCATTCCATAGCAAGAGGAGCTAGAATAGCTTCAACTGGGCCTTGTTCCTGTCCTCAGGAGTATGTGTCCCTCCCAGCAAGGTGAACGGGAAAGGCATGCACAAGAGGACTGTTAAGGAACACTTGGGAAGAAACCGAATGGAACATGGTTGTTAAAGGAAAGGGAAATACATCTGTACATTGTACTGAAAAACATTAAATCATTATCATAAGAACGTGAGCTGAAACCACATTTTTCTTGAGCAGCCTCTGTGTGCAACTGCTTTTTCTAAGGATGACCTAATGTTATTAAACTGTCATTACAAAATATCCAATTCCCCACAGAGGGAGAACTAGAGGGGAAAGAAATTAACAAATTTCAATATGATTTGCTAATTGCTAATTGGCTTAAGGAAAGCTAAAAATGACCAAAATGATTGGAAACATCCACCTCCAGCCAGATCCAGACTCATATTTATAATGAGAAGAGCAGCCAAGACAAACAAAGAGCAATGTAGTGCATCCTGTTGGCATTGTGTTTTTGGCATTGCTGTATCTGCACAGAAAACAAGTGATACATGAAATGTGTAAAGACATCTGTTTCATAACCTATGGAGCTTTGCTCACAAAGCAGTTGTAAAATCTTCTGGGGGAGAGAAATATTTCTATATATCTGTGCAGATGCTCATTTGTAAGGGGAAACAATCCATTTGAGGAAGTGCTCAGCTTTTAGAAAAAGCTTGTCTACAAAATTTTGTGTCAAATATTTATCTGCCTGTATTCCCTCACTGCTGTTAATTTAGCAAAGTTTACTAGCCTTTATGAGTTGCATATATCAGGCCCAGTTCATCCAAAGTGTACTGACAATGTCGCCATGGCCATGCATGAGGATAGTGCATAGTCTTCAAAGAGCTTATTTTCTTAATATATATTTCAGGGACATCTAGGCCACTAGATTAGGGCTAAGTAAAAACATAAAGCCTAATATAAAGTGATTATACTGAGTCCATTCCTTACAGTTTTCTATTCAACTTTAAGAGACAATGCTCAAATCTCAGCCAGAAACACAAAACATCCTGAGCAAATAGTGAAAGCTCAGAATTCAGAGAGCCCAGAAGGTGGCCCCAGCATCTGGTGAGAAGCAATAGCACATGGGTTCCTTGGAGGAAAAAAGCAGGGTATAAATACAACAATCCTCATTTCTATTTCACTGAATGAATTATCATCTCCCTGTATGTTCTTCCAGTTTATTTGCTTCAGCCTTACTCAGGTTCTTCAACCTCCCACTTCATCTGCGCAATGAGCATCCTCTCTCCAATTCTACCCCTCTGTTGCTCAAAGTACTCCTTAAAAGCCCTTCATTAGCTTTTCCTAGTGAAAGATTAAAATGGTGCTGTGAATGGGTTACCAGTTCTCCTGAAACTGGAGGACATACCCATGTCTTCTGTGGGAAAAGGGATAGCGGGACTACCAATGGAGCAAAGCTTAGCAACATCTCATGGTCATGATAGTAGAGTCCAGCAGAGTTTAGTGCTCAAGATAGTCACAGCCTGCCAACACCTGGAAGTCAGCAGGCAGAGCCAAGAGCAGAGATATGCTCGGCTCCATGTTCTTATAATGTAATATAAAGCAGCTGCTGCAAAGTTTTCCCATCTTCCCATGATATCAGGCATCCAAAGAACAAGAGAATAGAGTCCAGAACACCAGGACTAATCGAGTGCCTGTAGGGTGGATGAGTCAAGTTGAAGAGCCAACCCACCCACTAATGTGTGGCTAGAAATGATTATACACATGTGTAATCAATAATAAAATTCAGCATATTAAGGAATCAAGACATGCCCACTTTCATTAAATAAATGTTTTCCTACTTTATGTACTCTGCAGTGCAAATTTTTATTAGAACTGTGCCACATTCCTTAAACATCTTCCAAGTATAGGCTAACCCTAATCCTAGTGAATTAGCCTATAGGAATTAGGCAATAGCTTCAAACTCTTTCATTTGGAACTGTGGCACAATGATTCAAAGATACATGAGTGCAAGGTACAAAATCAAAGGAAGTCTTCTGGGTCAGATTCATTGCAGGAAGGTTTAGACCTCTCATTGATCCTTTTGATAAGGTGCACGCTTTTGCTCCCTAAAAGTGGAGCAATCACATATTGCAAGATGTAACACTGACTGCACTACTTTCTTGTGTGATTAGCACACAAAAAGACTGCTTGCTTGGATGGAGATTTAGGCAGCCCTCTAAAGTATTGTGAGAAAGTTAGCCCTAACTGTTTTTAGGAGAGAAGTTGAGTCAGATACAAGTGTTTCAGCTTTTCATCCTTGGCATTCCTGCAAAGGGAACTAACACATTTGTTCAGGATAAACTGCTTTTGTTATGATATTCCCCTCAAAGAAACTGAGATAGATGTTCTGGGTAAAGAAAGAAACAGGGGTTCCCATGAATGAATTCTTCAAACTGCGTGAGAAACTAGGTTAATATTTCATTAAAGAGCTACAAAATAGCAGCACGGCAGGAACAAACCAGAAGTACTTAACTGAAGTTACAAGGAAACTGTTGAATCTTTAATCCTGTTTTATTATGTACTCAATGTTGTCAGTTGAAGGTAGTGAAAGAAACAATCAAAACAAGTGTGGGAATATTTAAGAGAAGTGCCCTCATTCCAAAATATTTTAAACTGTATTAGACAGAATCATCACACTGAGAGTTCATAATGTCATCACACTGATCATAATGTCCCCACTTATACTACACTTTGTTGGCTGCCACGTTCAAGGTCAAGGAAATTTGCACTAGATGTTGTGGGGGAGAGGCTTAGCAACAATCCCATGCTTTTCGGCAGCAGGTCAGTGTCCAAATATTGGTGGATTTCCTACATTGACAGGGAGTTGGACTAGATAACCTTTGCAGTCCCTGCCATAATGGCTAATTCTGGCTTCTAAGTAACATGTGAAGCAAGAAGGCTTGGATCTGCTTAGACGAATTCTGATTTCTTGATTATAAGATAGGCTTATAGAAACATTCTTGTTCTCAACAGTGAACAAAAGTGAGGTAGCAACAAAACAACAACCCTCTTTAATGTTGGCAAATCTATTTGTACTAAAAACAAATACATCTGCTTTCTTTGCTCACTAGCCCATCTCTTTTCCAAGCTGTCTTTTTACCATGAATCTTTACCAGTATTCACCATGTCCATGAATACATATTTGATGTGTTAAATTGTTCTATATATGTTTGTAGCATGCCTACTGTAGTATTTGTGATTTTAAAAAAAATCTTTCTTGCAGGCAGCTTTAAGTGCCTTGAAACAATTTTCAGAACAAGGTCTGGATCCAGTGGATGAAACATTGAAAGTTGAAAACAGTTCATTTGAAAAGTAAGCCTTACTTTCACAGTACTCACCTTGTACGATATACCAAATAACGTTTCTTAAATGAAAGGTGTTGATGCTCATAGACATTTCAAAAATGTTCTAATACTTGTGTTAGCATTTCTAAGAATTTTGTACCATTGCTTGGAATAAGTTCCAGAATCACTTTGGAACTTTATTAACTAGGAGTGACTTGTGCCTTGAATGCATGCTGCATGAGGGTTTGGTATATTTTAAAATAACAATTAAGTAATTTAGCCAGCTTCTTTAACTTGTTCTTTTTTTTGTATGACTTCTGTGATTTTTAAATCACAAACATTTTTTAAAATCCTCCTTCTTGTCATCAGCTGGCAGATGCCATTGAAAGAGTAAGGTAGGTGGTGTGCATACAGGTTTCAGCACTGATTCATTTGGAGGCTACATTTTTCACAAGTGGCCAGACTTTAACTAAAGCACTTCACAATTGCCATCCCAAACCCTGGGAATCCTGAGCACTGGACAGGATTGCACAAACACAACTGAAGTATGCTGCATAAATATGCTTCCAATTTGCTTTAATAGAAGAAGCCAGGCTCACTTTGACTGCCATTGTTGCCTTTGTGTAAGATTCTTTCAGCACAGAAAGCAAAAAGGTAAAGATGTTCCATGGGTATGTCACTTTTCACCAATCCACATCAGTTTCAAGATAAGCTACCTGGTAGATATCTCATAAATTGAACTGCATAAGAAAGCCAAATCTTTTTTTGTGTTGCACATATCTCTCATGTAGCACAACTTCTTTGTATGTGATTCATAGCTAATATGATATGCATCCTTCCTCATGAAGCTTGCATGGGAAAAATATAGTCCATGTACCATATTCTATCGCATGGGTGGCCATACTAAGGCTTGCAAGCTGTATGCAGTTCTTTGAGTTTATTTTGGAGCCCACTGAGGGCTCTGAGCTCCCCTGTTCCTCCCAAGTCTGGATCCCAGTGATGGCATGGGCATGACTGCAGCAAGACGCACAAAGTCGCCATCCCATCCCACTCTCTTCCTGAGCCTGGTTGAGCTGGTGGCCTCACAAGAGCTTGCCTCAGCATGTCTTGCACCACTCCTGCTGACCTTAAAAAACCAACTTTGAGAGAGGCATCTTGACCCCTTTCCTGAATGTGGAGAGAGTGGGGACCAGTCAAGGAGAATTTGTGTTGTTTGTGTGACAGCCCCTGAAGATGGCTTTCCTATTGCTGCTTGTCCCTTCTGCAGATTCTTCAAAGGTCTTTGATAAGACATGGTCTTCAAGTTAGAATTCTAACAAAGAATTTTCAGCACTTCTCACTAAACTATAATTGCCAGGATTCTGTCTGTGACAACAGTTAAAAAAAACCCCTGCTATTTTTTATTAATATGGCACTTGCTTTGAGTAGTTCTTGTTTCTAAAGGTCCATTTCTTTGGAAAAGGCACCCCACAGTTAATCTTCCAGGTGTCTATGTGTCTTATCATACACATTTTAAAAATCATACACTGATAAGTAACAACACACTTTCATAAAGACATAATAAATAATATATAAATATTTGTTCATGTCTTGTGGCTCTCAAACACCTGACATTTACTGTATGTGACTGTTTCATTGAGCAAGTCTAGCCAGCACTGTTATATCCAAATGAAGAGAAGCAAATACTCTACCTGCTTCACATTTCCCTTCTTTTTTTTCCTAATTGTGCAAACAGAGACATAAGAAATGATGCCATGTAGAATTTACAGACGTAGTGATTAGGTAAATGGAAGATGGAGCAGTTATTAGTTGCACATTCTTCCTCTTTTAGCTGAAATAGCCAAGAGCAAGTTCGAAGAAGTGAAGTCAGAATTTTCAACTGATATATAGTGGCTGTTTGTAAACTAATTTAATCAGAACCATTTACCACATGATCTCACCAGCATAGTATCTGAACATAAATATTGTTGTTTCATTTTAAAAATGCCCCCCCTTGTGGTGACCTTTGAATCTCATGTGCCATCTGCTAATAAAAATGTCTTAAAGATGTGCAACCCTGGACCTTACTGCTCTTGTTAATGTATTAATCTTTCAGACAAGTCAAGCATCTGGGAGAAAACGCAGACAATAAACAGACTAACTCAGGCACCATTGCTCAGGACTGCAAGGATTCAAAGGCTGTCGTCTAGGAGCTTCCCAGCACCCGCGGCTGCCACTGCATCCTTATAAACCTGTCAACACGCAATAGGGTGTATGTATACAAGGAAACGAATGAATAATACCATTATTTGAGTCTTATGTGAAGACAACACTATTCTAACACAAGATATAGTATGCATGGTACTGTTTGTTGAATGAGGGGATTAGACATAAAATGTTGAACATTTCCCCTCCAAACCTAAACATCTAAAATTAAATAATTCCGAGTGCTCCAGAGGTAGCAAATGTCCAGTCAAACCACCCATGTTAGACAGCAAGTAAGTATGCAAGGCTGTGCATGTTGATAGAGCGGAAAGTGCTACCTGACTCAGAACTCCTTGGCCAGCCATGCCTGAGGAATGCTGAGAGCTGTTGGACTTTCCACTCTCTAAACATACCTATCATTGCACCCTGCTTAACTAATACTTGGAGGGAGGTTGTTAACTGTACAATTGAATAATACTCCAGAGGAAATGAGAAATCAACACTGGATTGAATTACATGACTTTTTTGTAGTGTAATATAAGTTCAGCGTTCCATTTTTTTTCATCATCATTATTATGCTTGAATATATTAAAATGAACCAATGACAGTGCTGTGGGAGTTGTAGTTGTCTTCATATATAATCATACAGCTTCTCTTTTTATGCCATCATTATGCATTCTTCACAATCTTACAGGTTACATTCAGGCTGTAAGATGCGCTACCCCAAGTTGTTTGCAAACTGAAGTTTAAATCATGATTAGTACCTGCTTAGATATTAAGGACCATTCGCAATATATTCCAAGAGAAAGCCGAGATGATATTTGAGTTCCCTTTGTTGACTGGTGATGCACCTTGCCTCCAAGGAACACTTCTTTCCCTTCATCTTGCTCTTTGTTGTGTGAAATACATTTACACCCCATTCTGTGTCTTGCATTAACTCTCAATTTGCATCAACTGAGTGTTTTAATAACTGCATCCTTAGCAAGAACAGTAATACAGCATGGAAACATCTCTAGAAAGAAGGATGAAAAGCAGTGGAGCAGATATGCAAAAATGCCAGTATTGATAGAGGTGGAAATTTGCACTTGTATTCTGTACCAGAATATTTGAATTAAGTGGCCAATGCAGTAAAACCATGTCAGTTTCTGTATACAGCGCTTATGCTGTCTCTTCCTTGCTTTGTAAATAATACAGGTCACTCTTGCCATGTATCACCTGTTGTAAATACCAAGAACTGATTTGACTAAATTTCCTACTGTACAGCTGTCTGTTAGGAAAGACGCATCCTTTGTATTCAAGTGATTGTCCTTGTATTTTTCACAGCCTTGTCTTATTTCACCACCAACTACTTAACACTGTGATGCAGTATATGTGAATATATACATTTTCAGAAGCATAATGTTACCACCCAAAAGCATAAAGTAACTAAGGAGAACTAACTCAACATGTATGTTAAGAACTTGCACAAACATGTGCTATTATGGTGTGTTCAGAAGACTTGAGAAGAGAGACATATTGATTCATATTTAATAAAATTAATCTTACTAGTGATTTTTGGATCTTAGGGAAAATCTTCATAAGAACTAGCATTTATTTGCCAAACTGGAAATGCAGATACAAATTAATATAACTATAGCTCAACCACATTTTGCTTTAACAAAATTCAAGAGTTTGTGCTATCAGTAATTAATTTTTGGATTTAAATGACAGAATTAGAATGAAATCCTTTGCTTTCAATACAGTAAGCAAAATTTAAAGCCAGATGGTAATCTACTGATGTCTGCTTGTTAAAACAGAACTAACCAGAGTACTTACATTCGCACAGTGGTGGAGCTAAGTAAAAAATTGAGCTATGTAAGCAACCTTGGGATCATCATAAGAGCAAAAAGGCCAGAATTTAAATCTAATGTAACAAGAACATAAGGGCAAAACAAACATCAGTTTGAACCTGTATTTCAATAAAATCCGTGGCTTTTATTTTTATTCCAAAGTAGGTACAAGGGAGTTGATGCAGATTGCAGAAGCATCACTGCCTCACCTCACATGCACACAAATTCTTGGGTCCTGATCCACATGAAAACCCTGGATCTATTCTAGCATAACATGAAAAGACAGTTGTTGGATACAGATTTAAAGTAATGTCTGTTTTGCCCATAGACCTGTCTGGCTTTCAGGGATTGGAAACGTTCCTGTGAGACAGCAAATGTTCAGATGAAAAAGCTGTATGTGGATTCACTATTTCAGTGCTGCAAAGCATGTAAGCAAACCATTTCAGGTGGCTGGCATGAACCCACCCTAGTCCACTCCATTATTCTGCTGCTTTTGCTGCTGCAGTCATGCTGCCTGGGATTTCCCTTGCTAGCCTAAACAAGGAAACCTTTTCTTTCTGGACTTTGATAAAAGATAAGAGGTAAGGAAGGGGTTCCATCTCTATTGCGAGAAACCCCAAGAAGTCTCTTGCTAGCTACAGTACTAGCTACAGTACTAGCAAGGGACTCCCCAGATATGTGAAGTGTATGCATGTGTATTTGTGCATATGTATGCAAGGGAGCGCATAAACCCTAGCTGCACGTGATGTGGCCCTTGGCTCCAAAATTACATAAACTATTAAACTATAGTGCATGTACTTTCACAAAGACCTTTCACAAAACAAAAGCACAACTACCAGTTGGATGAAGGTGACTACATAATTCCATGTCCAAAACAAAATTGCTCAAATTTACCAGAAAGGGTTTTTTTTAAACAGTATTCTTTTTTCCAGTTGTCAAAAGAAAATACTTTCAAAGAGGAGGTGGAATGTACCTTTCTGGGGTACCTTAATGTTTCAGGAAGTGTGACAAAGTGGAGGGCACTGGGTTCTGCCTTGACTGTAGAAATAACCCAGATCACACTCCCCCAAAACTCCTCTTTGATCCATTTTAATTAACAGCTAACCAATTAATACTGTCAAATGAACACAAATTAACCTATATGGAGTCTCTTTTGGTCAATATCTATTCATGTTGTCTACTGCACTCTGACAGCAGGCACTTACCATGACATTGAACAGATAAGACTGCACCTTTCAAGCAGCTTTAAGTGTGTACCTGCACAAGATATTTTTAAACAAAATGATGTAAATTTTGCACATTTCTGTCACCCATTTTTTAAAAGTAACAAGCCAGTGATGGTTGTTCTGATGGTTGAGCACTGGCAGAATAGCTGACACACATGGAAGCATGGGCTCTGGGGAAAAGGGGAAACAAAAACAGATCCATCAACAGAGAAGGGTATTGAACAAGATGTGTTCTGTTGCACAGAGCCCTGGGACACCTGCCAGAGGACTGCGGGAGAAGGAGGGGGAAGAGCAACTCATGAGAAGCCCAATTACCTGCCAGTGATCAGGCTTATGTGCAGCGTGGGTTGCCATTGCATATGACCCACTGCCTGCCACTTCTTAAAGTCAGGAAGCACTGAGTCAGTTTTCTATCCATGGCTGTGCTTCCTTAAGTCTTGTCACTATTTGTCCGTAGGCAATTCATGTGAACCATACTTGCTCTCTTGTCTGTGAATTCCAACACCTATCTGAGCAATTTCCTGACAAAATAAGCTTTGCTATTTTTATTCTTTCTAGTCTTACAGAACCACAGGCAGGATTTGTTTCTGTTACCCATGATACCATTTTGCAGAGCCAGGTTTAAGATTCATTAAGGATTGTGGCTCAGCACAACAGTTAGAAATTATGTAGTACAGCTACTCTTATTTTAAAGGGCTAAGGGACCTATTTGTAACAGGTTACAAGCCTAATTTTATTGTCAAGTAATATTTTAATTAGGCCCTGAGGCCCAACGAAGCACACAGGAGAAGGATTTTCATCAGGAAAACTGAAGGGCCTAATGCAATTAAAAAGAAGGAATTTGAACTGGTCAATGTCAGCCCAAGTGATGGCCTCCAAATGCACATTTAACCTTTCAACAGATGGTCCATGTTCTACAAGCTATTTTTATACTCACATGTGAATGTTGAATCTCATGGCTCCAAAAGCACTGAATTATTGTCTGCAGCAAAGTGATTAAGGTTGATTTAAGCCAATGAAAGGTGTGTATAGCTGGAGCATGGCATAGCAGTGAATGCCCTGTAATCCTAGAATATGGCCTCTGTTGCAAAATATGGATATTGCTGGTGGACCCACAGCCTGAGACTATTAGGTTTCATTTCTGAAAGATCATGTTTAAAGACTACCTTGGTTAAAAACCAAACCTGGTCCAAGTGAAGCAAGAGTACTGTATGGCATCAAAGTTGTCTTAAACCCCATTTTTATTAGAAATAGCCATATTGATGTGTTAAAATGTGACTGTCATGTATCCTATCCTCAAGCAAAGTTTCTAGATGCAAGTCCTCCATCCCAGCAAAAAACGAGTTTGGCTTTTGGAATCCTTGCACCCAGATCAAAGGAGCTCGCTATTCAGGCTTCAGGGAATCCCATGCCTCCCAGGTGATGTTGGGAGGCCATAGGATCTCATTGACTTCTGGGTCACCTCCATTCTGAGCTGTGTGACTGGAGTCCTTCTGCAAGTTCAAATAAGTCCTTTTGGATATTTAGGAAATTTGGTGGATTAAGGTGGATTAATTAGGATCCTTTTGTATTGGCCCCTTGGAAAGATATGAATTTTAGGATTATAGTGTCTAATACATTCCTATTGTTCACATGCATTTCACTGGAAATGTAGCTGGTATTCTTCAGAATACATCATAACTCATAAAGGCCAGCATGATTCAGTTCATCCAAGATGGCAGGGTTTTGGCAGGAAAGCATAAGAGGCCATGTTGCAACCCAGCTTTCTAAGATGTTTTCCCACTATTTACATATAAAACTTGTTGTGAAGAGCCGTCTGAATTATCTGAGATTGAAAATGGAAATTTTCTAATAAATTTTCAAGGTTAAATTTTGAATTAATACCAATAATATATATGCACTTATTAAAATACTAAAAATATATGACACCACTGGTGCAGAATTGGTTATCCATACCATCAGTGTATTTTATTGTATGGCTTGGAGCTCACATAATGTGTCACATCACAACAGTTCTATTCAGAAGGAATGTTTGAGGCCAGAGCCATCTAGCTGACTTACAATTTTAAGTTTCTAAAGGGCAAAACAATGTTATGAGGATACTTATGCCAACTCTTTAAAACAAAACCCATAAGCCTTGAAAAATAGTGTATTTTCAAGAACAATACAAGATTTTATTTATTTATTTATTTATTTATTTTTAGCAGAGGTCAATTTATTTCAGAAGAAAAACCCAAGTATCAAAGTGATTGCCACCTACAGGAAACCTGTTTTCTAAAAACAAGAGAAAAGAAAAATGTAGCTAAATAATTATTGTCAATACCAAAAACTCGTATCAGGCTATTTTCCACTATTTTTAGTATTCCCAATTTCATTTTTGCTCAAAATGTATTGAGGGTGTCAATCTTTTTAATTAAAGATTTTTTTGATTCACATCTGGTGTGTTTTCCACATTATTTTCAAACACCAAGGTAGTTGTGAAATCTTTTCGTTCAATAGTCATTCGTGTAGCCTTAGTTATATTTTGCTTTAAGGAATAGCTGCTATGGTTTGTTAAAAGAATCTTATGTTTTATTTAACAGTAAATTACTAGCAGTTCTGGTTGCAGATAAAAGCCTAGAAGCTTGAAGCTAATGCTTTCATTCTTAAAAAAAAGGGAGGGGGAGGGCTTAAGCCTTGAGGTTTCTTTCGCTCCTTGATCTCTCAGTTGGTCTTTCAAGGTCATAGAAAGCTTGCATCACTGTATACATGCTTTTCAAGTTAGAAACCTTGTGAACACTTCTCTTTCACTTTAAAGAGAGGCAATTGCCTTTTATTCCGTACAGATTTTATCTCCCCAATAAGCATCCCTATTTGAGTAGTGTAGTGACTGTTCCTCTAGTATTTAGAACTGTCACACAGCTGTCCTACTCATGCATTCGTGAAAGAATTCATATTCGTGTGCATATTCATGCAGTTGTTATTTGAATTATGCCAATATTTACTTCTAACCAGCTGGTTTGGTATATGGGTACTCTCAGTCCAATGAGCTACAGAAACTAGGATGTTGAATTTCAAGTGCACTTCACCCTTACCATAGCTCTCAAAGGCACAAAACTGAATAGGCAATGCCATGAACTGGAAACTTCCACCCACCACTATCTTAAGAAAGCGGATAGCCTCTTCAAACCAATATGTGTGAGACTCCTTTTGACTGTGCTCCACTTGCTGCGTAGCCACTGCATGTATTACTGATTTCTTGTCTATCTGAAGATTGCCAAAAGAAAGATCTAATTGCCAACATTAGCTTGTAAATGCCCTTGTTTTCAGCAAAAATTAAGCCTAACCCTTCTGAAATCTTTGAGAACTTTGATGTGCTTAACTGTGCTGGTCATACTCTATTATTGACTTTCAATTAGAACAAATGTATACCAAAACATGTATCATTAAACTCTTTTGAAGATTCGTGAGCTGTTGCACACAGGAACAAGAAAGAAATGTTGGTGCAGTAACACTG